TAGTATCGAAAACTTTTTCCAACATCCTCGAAACATTTGATATGACTTCCAAAAATTTTCATTTCGTGAACTAAACAGAGCCTAAATGCGTGGATACGTCGTGGGAAACATCGCACAAATGCAATGTTCTCTGTAGACACTTATGATTTGTACTATTGAGTGTTATGAAATCAAATCCCACACGAAATCTAACGCCAGGTCAGTGCCTACGCACTCTACAGTGAGATTTCTAACGATGAATGGCAGGCGGAAGTTACCTCCACTGTCCCTGAATATGTGTAGCTACGGTTTAGGTGTTAATAAGTTGGACTCAATTTATAGAAAATATATGTAATATTTATATTTCTAAATAAATTTATTAAAAAACTAGATTCAAATATCTATCAATGATACTAATTATGTATCATCAATATTAATATTTTTTAATATATATTTAGTCAAAGTTGTTTTTTGGAAGCAAAAACGACAAACATTTAGGGATGGAAAGAGTACTTAACTACTACCTCTATCCTGAAAAGAATGCAACTATGAGTTGCGTGTCACGAAAAGTTGTTCATGTTTTATCAAATTTCTAGTAAATAATATTCACATTTATGATTTTAAAGTAATTTATTATGAAAATACATTTCGTAATCATTCTGATAATATTTATTTGGTATCATAAATATTGATATTTTTTTATTTATAATTGATCAAATTTAATGTACTAAAACATAATACTGTACTAGAATTGTATTATTTTGGGATGGAGGTAGTATTTAACTGGTATATACTCCGTACTCTGTGGTACTATGCCAGAAGGATGATTTTACAGTGCTCTTCATCTTACAAATTGGAGCCCAAGACAAGACACTGTACCTGCTGGCAGCAGAGGGAGATTACCAGTATCACAGAAATCTGAATTCTGAAAGAGATCCAGAGAATGTGGATGTGCTGAACTCGGAGCAGGACCGCGGAAGCCTGCGTCTTGGGCCTTAGATCACCTTCAAATTATAAGTCTTTTCATTTTCTCTTCGTCACATTAATTTTTAGTTGTTTGCATGGAGCATTAAATATAGGTAAAAAAAATAACTAATTGCACAGTTTAGTTGGAAATCACGAGATGAATCTTTTGAGCTTAGTTGGTCTACGATTAGACAATATTTACCAAATAAGATAAAAGTGCTACTATTCATCGGGTTGAAATTTTTTGCAATCTAAATATGGCCTTGTCTACATTAGGGTTAGGAATTAGTACCGGGTACTGTAGTATTTTCGTTTGTATTTGATAATTATTGTTCAATCATGGTTTAACTAGGCTTAAAAGATTCGTCTCGTAATTTACAATCAAACTGTGTAATTAGTTATTTTTTATCTATGGCCTTGTTTAGATTGCAAATTTTTGCAATCTAGACACTGTAGCACGTTTCGTTTGTATTTGACAAACTTTGTCCGATCATAGACTAACTAGGCTCAAAAGATTCGTCTCGTGATTTACAACTAAACTGTGCAATTAGTTACTTTTTTTTATCTATATTTAATGCTACATGCATGTGTCTAAAAATTGATGTGATGAGAGAGAGAGTGAAAAAACTTGGAACTTTGAGGTAATCTAAACAAGGCCTATATTTAATATTCTATGTATGTGTCCAAAGATTTGATGTGATGAAGAGTGTGAAAAAACTACCTGCAATGTTTCAGTCTCCGACTAGTCAGCGCGTCAGCCGTAGCTACCATTCCCTGTTCCCGTCACATCTCTCACCTAACAACCAACCCTGCAGGAAAGGCCGGGAAGCGCGGACCATCTCTGATCTCTCAAACAAACTAGCAGTCAGTCCCCCGGCACTTCCCCCTTCTCAGCCGCAGCTTCCTCCGGACAGTAGTGCCAAGCTGCCAACAGCTTCCGCGACGGTGACAGCCGCGGACGGCAGGAGACAGGCGTCGAGCGTCACCACCTCGCACTGCGACTGCAATTGGAGATGCACACTTCATTTTGAAGGGGGAGGGGGGACTTCGTTCATGCATCCGCTGCATCAGATTCCACACACTTACTGGGCATGTTCGTTGGTTGGTGTTGGTCTTTGGTTTAAATTTGGTGGTGTTAGTTTTTATGAGAGAAAAATCTTGTTGGTACTGGCATTTGGTTTGAAATTTTTATTTGAAACCAACGAATAAACAGTGACTATGATGCTTTACCCGGCTAGGTTTTCGACAGTGAAAACTCACTCGAGGCTGGAATTTTTTTATATTTTTAATCCTTTTTATTTAATATTTTAATAAAATTTTTAGGTGCGATTATTATTAAAATAATAAATAAAAAGAAATTAAAAAATAAAAATTGTCCCCAGCAGGATAAGGAGAAAAGAGAAGAAGTGAAGCGTGAACAGAATGTCAGAGAAGAAAGTCAGGCCATCTCGTGCCAACAGCTTCGGCGACGGTGACAGCCGCGGACGGCAAGGAGACAGGCGTCGAGCGTCAACAGTTCACCACCTCGCGCTGCAATTGGAGATGCACACTTCAAATCCCACTTCATTTCTGTCTTCCTGCAGTCCACCCAGCAGGATAAGGAGAAAGAGAGAAGACCAAGTGGAGCGCTGAACAGAATGTCAGAAAGGACGATCGTGAGGTCTTTGTGCCCTAATAACTCTTCCCATCATCGGCTCAACCGCCTGAAGGATACATAAGTACACATCACATGAACAGTTTTGCTGATAAGTGCGCGCATTTAGTCCCTGTTGTTTTTATACAGCTCCAAAGAGAGGGTTCCCTGAAGCTCCCTGAAGCCCCCAAGAGAGGTGTTCTTGCTCAACAAACAAACAAACAAACGTGTTCGAAACAGCCACCACGAACTGCAAACACTGTCCTCTGGACGTAAACAAAGAGCTTAATAATGAACTGTCTCCCACGGTAGTACACAGTACGCAGCTCTGCGTAAATGTGCTTTGTTCCGAATTTTCACGGCTAACCCTGGACCTCTGGAGCACTCAGTACTGCTAGGTACCGGTGCGGACACCGACGGAGAGACAGGAGACCATGCTAGCCATTTCATCACTTTCGAATTTTGAGCATTTAACCTTGTCCGGCAACAGGGTCGATTCAGCCGGCCGACGGCTCGTCGTCGTCCCATCACTTTCGTCCCATGGATCGATTTTCGTTGCCGCCACCCGCCAATCCGAGACTGGTTCTTGACCGCGCTGCACGGATGCATCGCATCCTGCATCTGCATGCCCGATGCCCATACCAATTTGACAGAGCCGTGCATATCCTCAGGAGCTGCGTACCACCGGCCAGGGGTTCGCTTTGTCAGTCAGAGGACCGATCGAAACCAGCGTCGCAACACGCAGCGCAATGCAGTTTCATTAGCTGTCAGCCCTTTGTTTTCTTCTCAGTGTGTCCTCACGTGTGGCCGGAAGTCGCAGCCGTTCAGGCTCCTCTAGAGCTGACACCGACGGATGACGGAGCCACACCCTCCACCGGGTCGAGATCAGATGGACAGGCAGAGCTGATGGTTCCAGTCCGTCCCGTCGGCGTCTTACCGCTGCGTGCCATTACGCCGTTGACAGGTGCGACCATGTATAAAAGTAAAACATTTCCAACTTGTCATAGTATATAGAAGATATAAATATGGCTTATCGTCGTTTTATTAGGTTGACAAAAATAGTCAAGACATTGGACGGATCGATGGAGGCGATTGGATGCCGACAGGACCTGCGATTGACGTTTTTTCTTTTTGTCTGGGCTCGTGTCGATGCAGAGTCCGCATACTCAACTCTTCCAGGATACGGAGGATCTCACCTTGTACATCATTGTCTACTAGGAAGATCTCACCTTGTACTGATACTGAGTAGCACATGATATATTGTTTTCGCAGTTGAAGGAACCACGACATGACACTTTCAACTTGTTCGCTTCTTGTTTCAGCCAGCCCAAACCAGCCAGCCAATAGTGTTTTTCTCTCACAACAAACCAGCACCAGCTAGCCTAAACCAATCCAGAAACCAACCAGCGAACAGCCCTGTTAGGACTAGACGATAAAGGGATTTTTTATTTTTATATAATCTTTTTTTTTAACTTTTGTATTTTAAAAATAGCCTCACTTATTGTTTGCTTCAAATAATAACCGGCTAACATTGATGTAAGATTGGGCTAGGCCATTTAGCAGAAATTCATGGGCCAGAGACCGAACAGCAGAAAGGGTCCATTTACGGCCGAGAAGGCCCACGTAATCCGGCCGTTGGCGGCGTAGTACGACAGGTCAACGCAAAGCAACGCGCCGCGCCGCAGTTTTCCACACGGGAGACGAGACCACCCGATCTCCTCCCGATGCGGGGCCCAGCTGCCCAGGAATCCGAGGCGGAAGGGATCATTCCAGCAGCTCCAAAACCAAGCCCCCGCATCCGGCTCATGTGGACCGTCCGCCGAGGGCCCACCGGCCAGCGCCATGGTGCACCAAGACCGAGACCACAGCGTGCGGTGGGATCGTCGTGGGTATGGGAGCGGCGCCGAAGTCGGGGACCCCACCGTATTCGGTCGCCCATCACTACCGTACAGCTGGCACGCCTAACAGACCACGTAACGCAGTGGAATCCAATGCGGCATATCCTTCCACTCCAATCTTACACCAAGACCCCTCGCGCACAGAGCAAACTCGTAGAAACCCCCTCGTCTTGTGATCCAGAAAGGACTGATCCGTGATATCATAGAACACAGGCCCTCCATCTAAATCTAAAGAAGTTTTAAATCGAAACAGCGCATCGCGGCTTCCCGCCCCTCCGCGCACCCTTTTCCCGCTTAATTCCCACTCCCCGCATCCGACGGCGCGGGATCCGCCACGTCATCGATTCCGGCCCGCCTTGCTCAGCACGGAGCCGTCCAGTTCCGTCCTTGGGAAGCCTGATCCTCCCGCCGCAGCCGCTCCCCTGCTTTATATGCTCCGCCGGCCGCGTCCCTTCCCTCCCAATCCCGCGTTCAAAAAAAGGAAAGCAAATTTCTTCTTCCCTCGAAAAATCAATCTACTCGCAATGGAGTGCAGCGTAGGCGTAGAGAAGGCGGCGGCGGCGGCGGCGGCGGCTGCAGGTGTGGGCGGCGGAGGAGGGTACGGCTGCGGCGGGTGGGAGACGCCGAAGCGGGAGGAGTGCCGCATCCCGGCGACGCTGCCCTGCCCCGCGGCGCCGAGGAAGGCCGTGCCGGACTTCGGGAAGCGGCGCAGCCCGCCCAAGAACGGCTACTTCCAGCCGCCGGACCTGGAGGCGCTCTTCGCGCTGGCGCCGCGCCGCCAGGCCTCCTGCGCGTGACTTCGGCGGCGAACCGGAGGTGGCAGAGAAGGGCTCTCTCTGTTCCAGATTGATTTTGGGAGTTGTAGATAGGTTTCCAGTCTCTGTTGTACTCACTCTAGTAGGGTTTAGTAGCGGGTGGATTTAGGGAGGCAGTAGGAGGGTTTTAGGGAGTAGTAGGTAGGTAGGTGGTGGATGCTTGAGATGAGAACTCAAATAAGCATACTGCTTGGTTCAGAACTTCAGATGATGAAATCCTTATATGCTTCTTGTCACTTGTTCGTATTGATGACTTGATGTCACTAGTCCTTTGTGTGATTGAGATGTTGCAGTAGATGTACACTATTGCTAACCGTGGCTGCTGTGCCGGTGATTGCGGGCGGTGTGAAGAATGCGGCGGCTGCGTTGTTTGCTTCACTTGTATGCGCAGCATCTACCTAGGATACTGCTGATGATGGTGATCTACCTAGGATACTGCTGATGATGGTGATCGGTGGCCAGGTTGCAGCTTGAAGCTTCGAAAAGCCTCTCCAGTAGTCCAGTATGCTTCATTGCTACTGCTGCAGTCTATTCTCCCGTTTAATCGATGTTATTAGAAAAAAAAAGTGTTTTTAATGGATGGTTAGAAGCAGTAATCCGTGCAGATGAAGTGATGTTCAGTGCTGTTCCTCACAGCTGGTAGTACATTTACATGAACTGGAAGGCATTAAAACACAATCGAGAGGGAAGCTGTTCTCTTGAACCCGGCCGCAGCCGCAGTTATTGTGGCTGCGGGAGGCCTGCAGCGCGATGTGGGCTTGGCATTCGCCTGCCTCCAGTCCTGGCCTAGGCGCAATGCAATGTATGTGGCCGGCCCGTGTGTGTGAGTGTGTGACTAGCGTCAGGAGCTTCAGACCTCGCTTCTGTGGTCCTGAATCCATTATCGCGAGGCCGGGGTGACGCGGACGTCTTCCAGTTCCAGATGCTGTGAACGACGAGCCGACAGGATAACACAAGCTTGCTGCTCGCCGGGTGGGGGTGGCTGCTGTTTGTTGCGGGCATGTGTTGTGCGTCGAGGGCACCGGGAGCTTGCCGGCCCCCCGTGTCCCGTGCCGCACCGTGGCCGTGGTGACTGGTGAGGCCTGTGGCGCGTGGGAGTGAGGGACCAGCCGGGCAGCGTCAGGACGGCGGAGAGCGTACTCCTTACATTGTTAACAGTGTGCGGCGCACCACTCTATTCTGGTGTGATGCACTGATGCTCCTGCTGCAAGTGAGATTTTAGGTGCACTTCAACCAATTTACACCTGCAAGTCGAGAGACCATTGTTCTTTCTTTCCAGAGAATATTTGCTGTGCCTGTGCTCGTAGGTTGATGATATCCATACACATGTTTGCGATAGGTTGCCAAGTAACTTTCGCGGTTCTCCTTTTCTCAACGACCAACACTCGCGACGTGTAAATTGTCTGTCGGCTTCTTCTACGAGGAAAGCATCCTGACGGCAACATGACAGCGGCCAATTAGCCATGGAATTTGGTTTTGATTAATGCTGATAATGTAGTATTCTGCAACTCAAGCAAAGCGTTTTCCGCTGCAGCCACTGGTTCCACACTTCCACCTCCACGATGGCAGGCACTAGAGATTGAAAGGTGTGCAGTTGAAGCGGAACGTCGGTCCCCAACCACTGCACGACGCCAAACTGCGAGACCCGGGAGAGGACCTCAGTTGTTCTGTCATATCCTTCGTCCTGAAGCCAGACATCACACACAGTTTGTTGGCAGCATCACATCTGATTCCAATCTGGCGACACAAAATCACTAGAGCTTTTGTCCCGTCGCAACCAACACTGATTCGTGCTAATCTAGTCGTACTCGTCTCAACCCAAAAAGGTCACAGTGGGTAGCATACCATACGCCTTTCCAGTTCCTCGTTCCTGTTGAACAAGGATAGCAAGGATTTTAACGGCCTCTGGCGATCTCATCGCAACGGTCCCTCTTGACCATATATAAAATCTTATAATATATAGACGCTAATTTTACTTACAAAATGAAAACAAATTCAATAACATATTTTTAATTTAACATGTCTGATAATTATCGAGGAACAATGTAGATTAAGCAATATATTTGTAGATGTATGATAATCATCGAGGAACAATGTAGATTAAAAAAGCAATATATTCGTTTTCTTTTCTCACCCATGACAAATGTTTCTTAAGTAACATTCTAAAATTCTAACACCTAAATTAGAAGAAAAATATGACTATATGGGTACAATGTACCAGAAGTCTGGAATACTATACAAATAATTAATTTGGATTAAAAATAAAAAGGAAAAAATATCTTGGGTCTAAACAACTGATCGGTGATCGTAATTCATAAGAAACCAAGAATCAAGATGTCGTCGTCGTGGAGTCCTGCCTGGTCGCCGTTCTCGTGCGCCGTGTCCGTGTCTCCGGTAGTCTAGCTCTTCACGGCGGCGCGGCTCGCCAGCTCCGCGTGTGTAAGGCGCACGTCGCGAACTTACGATCAGAGTGTGCTGTGTGCAGCGTAACTCCTCGCCTCCTCTCTACTCGAGGGCCGTGGGGAAAGAAAACTACGAAAGAAATGCCGATGCTGTGTTTTTAGGTCGCTGGCCAGTTCTATATCTCTCTTCTCATTAGTTTATTAATACCTAATAGACTATAGGACCTGAGGGTTTGTATACCTGGGTTTGGGCCCCTCCTCCGCTTGGGCCCTCGGCCGTCGCACCTCGTGGCCTACCCCTATGGCCGGCACTGCGCCCGGCGCTTTTACATGTGCTCGCTGTCATCTCGTCCATGAGGACCGCGAAGCATGGAATCGTGCGCACCCGCGGTTTTGGCCGTGTTCTCGCTGCGGTCTCGTCCACAGGGAGTACGAACTCGGCGCCATGCTTTACGGCCTCGATGAGTTCGACTGCGAGATTTTCATTCCCGATCCCAACAATGTCGTGATGCATGGAAATTCTATCGAGGTACCTACACACGTGATCAAGATGCTCGACGAGAAGCTAGCAGCCGCGAAGGATGACGCCAAAGCATCAGTAAGATAACAAGCTTGAGTTCTCATTAACTTTTACAAGGATGTCTCTACTACTTAAGCTAACTAGCATCATTCTAATTGTTTGGTGCAGCAAGAGTAGCCTCGGCTTCATGAAGCAAAGATGGACCACAAGGGATAGAAGTTGGCAGCCGATCTTCTCTTTCTAGTGTATTTTTGTTCATGTGAGGAATCTTGAACTTATTGCATCCTTTCACCTTCATAGCTTCAATGTAAACACTTTGTAGTGTTACAAACATTCGATTAGCTTTCTTTGCCGAGTACTCTAGAAATGCCTACAAAACAAGTGTGCAACAAATGAATGAATGGATGAGCAAATTTGTAGTTGATGAAACAATGAAACATGTGTGAACAATTTGATCAAATTACCTCTTGCACTGCTGGAACTAGATCTTCTATTGTTTTTGCATTCTTCTTGTATTGAATTGCTTGAATAGCACGAAAAAAACCCAAGTCAAGAATGTTGAAATCTGGAGAATTGGATGGTTGACAAACTAGGCGAATATCGAATCCTTCTTGCTTAGCTGCCTCACAAAAATCCGGATCATCCAATTTCAAATGGGTAGGTGCATTATCTTGTTGAATATAGATTGGTTTGCCCACATCTTCTCTTGGCCATTTGGCTCGAATGGCAGGCAACACTTGGTTGATCATGAAATCTCTAATCACTTCTCTAGTGATCGAAGCTATGGGCTTCATAACCAAGTCTCCACGGACACGGCCGGTTCTCTCATTATCTCTCATAGCCGGTTCATATCGAACAAGTGGAAAACAACCAATCCTACCATCAAAAATACAATTCCCATCCCTAAACCTTGGCCGAGCAACAACACACAAGAACATAAGCCTAGGGATGTAGTTCTTGTTCTTACAAGTCCGATGGGGATCATCTTCGTCGGGTAGCAAATAATATTTTTCAGATTTTTGATACAGGTAGAACCATTTTTCATCAATGAACACATAGTCATACAAATCCTTAAACCTTGGATCAGCTAGCAAATCCCTCATAACCATGTCAACACACCACTTTAATCTAGCCTTCTTGTTAGCTTGCGTGAGATATGGTTTGATGCTACTAGAGTGGCGCCTAAGCAAACCTTTTTTCAAATGCCTTTGTATTGTCCATTTGCTCATGTTAAGTTTGGCACAAGCATCTTCTATGGTCATTCTTTCCTTGAGAGGAATGCTACGCAATTGTTCCAAATCAACAGGAGATGCCTTACGACCAACTCTACCCTTCTTTCGACTACCAAGGTCAACCGGAATGTTATTTGCAAGTGGTATTTTACCTTTCTTCCACAGGCACTGAACTGCACGAATGTGTAGACCAAACTGAGCAGCAACATCTGTTGTATCATTCTTGCCTAGTACTCCATTCTTGCTTCTTGTCAACAAAGCTTGGAAAACTTGTTTTCTGACTTCTTCGGGCATGTCTTTCCTCCGTTGGTTCCCTTGAACGGGAGCATGTTCTAGTTGTAAAAGAACACATTAAAAAACAGCAAGGAACCAAGGATATGAAATGCTTGTTGCAACAAAAAATTGTCGTTGAAAGAAACTTACCGTTGTCGTTGACATCCTCCAGTACAGGCTCGTTGAGATCGAAGGTTGCATTGCCATTGTCATCTTCTACTACAGGGACGTTTAGATCAAAGCTAGCAAATGAACTGGCCATGCGTTCTACTGGTTCTAATACTACAGGCGAATGGAACTGCTGGCCATGTGTTCAGCTGGTTCTAGCAAATGAACAGTCGAGTACACAGGCGCATGCAACAAGGGAATAAATAGCCAGGCGGCCGCTGGAACCCAAAGGTCCAATGCGCGAACTATTTTGGTAAAACGCGCGCAACCAAACGCTCAAAACGCGCGCAAAGAAAAAAGAAGAAGCGGCAACCAGCGTGTTTTGCCAAAAAGAAGCGGGGCTAGAGTAGTAGAAGCGCCATGCAGCGCGAAATCGTCCAGGCCACG